CATAGGGGAGAACACTATCCATCGGGACAATCTGTCCTGAATAACCAGAATATAGTGATTACCTTTTGAGCTGCTTGGGACTGGTCCTACTACGTCCATGCTTACCTCTTCAAAACATTGTTTTGGCACGCCTGTTGTCATATATGGCGTTCTATGGGCGTAGTGTTTATTAGCTTGACATACTTTGCAGGACCTGATGTAATCACCCACATGCTTTTCTAAATTGGTCCAGGTGAATTCCTGATGAAGTGCGTATGTTGTTCTGTCCACTCCGCTGTGTCCCATTGCCGGGGGATTGTGGAATAGCGCAATGATTTGCAGGCACAGAGAGGGCGGGACCCAGATACGCAAGCCCTCTTTCTCCTTTTTGATGATTAGTCCCTCTTGCTTGCTGTATTGTTCGCCCGTAGGGGCGTTGCCTACTTTCTCTGTCTCTTTCGCGATGAGATCCCTGGAAATATACGGCAACAGATCTGTTCTCTTAAACGCGGGTGACAGATATGCGCATAATTTTTTATTCTTTTCTGGTGGGAACCTGCTTAGAGCATCCGCGTGTGGAATGCTCAGCCCTCTTTTTTATTCAACTGTATATTCATATTCGTTGAGGGCCATGAACCATCCGATTGCTCTCCTGCTGTCGCTGTTCTTTTGTCGGGCCAGATATGGGATCCCGATGTGGTTTGTTCTGATTTTGAATTTATGTCCCCACAAATATGATCTAAATTGGGACACTCCATAATACACAGCTAGGAGTTCTCTATCGGTGTTCGAGTACCTTGACTTGGCTCCATTCAGAGTTCTTGATGCGCACCCTATGAGGACTTCTTTCTTGTCCTTCTTCTGAGTCAGGATCGCGCCGATTGCATGTCCTGACGCATCAGTTGTTAGTATAAATTCTTTGTCAAAATCTGGGAAGGACAGGATTGGGGCATCTAAAAGACATTGCGTTAAGCATTTCTTTGCTTCTTCCTGCTCTTTTCCCCAACTAAACTCCGTGTCCTTTTTTAGTAGGTTATATAAAGGCCTCGCTTTTGTTGCGAAATCCTTAATATAGGATCTAAAATAACCTACCAAACCTAGAAAAGCTTGTANGCAGTGACACTCGGGTTCTTTGACGACATCCGCATCCCGGCGGCCATGTTGCAACACCCGTCCAGGTTCGACGAGAAGGAGCAGCGTTGGGTGTGGGAAGTGGACAACGGGGACGACGGGAAGGCGGAATTGCCGATGGACGTGGACGAGGAGATCCGGTTCCGGGTCACGGCGGAAACGTTTCACGACACGTCTCCTTCCGGTCCTTCCTCTGCTCCCAATAATTCTGCGTCTGAAGAGAATGAGGAAGTTGTCGGGAAGAAGTGTCCATATGCGATTACCGTGGGTTGTTATTTATTTTTTTAGACTTGACGAGTCTTCTTTTTTTTACGAGATATGCGGAGCTGGAAAAGTTCTGGTGATTTTTGTTTTTCTTGCCAACACTGTACTGTACTTTGGCAGCCCTTTAAAATATGCTCGAGTAGTAGAAACAGACGTATTGACTATGTGTCAGATCTCTTCAGCCTGTTACCGGCACTCCATTTTAGATAAGTGTGAAAATGTTGTTGTCCCCTCAAATCCTAATAATACAGTGGGACCCTGACATGTGGACACACCGATGTACGGACGATTCGACTTGGGGTCCCTTGAAACTTCAGAAAAAAATCTGCCTTGACATCTGGACGATGTCTCAGGATAGGAGGAACACTTCGCCGATATTTTCCAGGAAAATTTAAATAATTTTTTATTTTTGATATTTCTTGAACAAATTGAGCTATTTATACTCACAAAAATTGAGAATACATTTCGTTACAAATATGCTTGAATTCGTAATAATAATAAAACAGGCCGATTTTCAGATTTTTTTTTTCTATGATTTGTGCACATTATAGCAAGATTTACGGTATTTTTGTTCTTTACTTTTTGGACTCCTTTTTATTCCAAAATATGTGATTCTACGTGAATTTTCTTCTGCACGGTTGTTTTTTCTAGCTTGAAGTTTAGGGAAATAATTTTTATGCAATGATTTGGGGGACTTATATTGATTTTTCCAACAGGAGAATAAATGCAATATGCTTCCATGTACTTTTATGGGAAAATGTGATTCAACATGCGGACAATCCAACATTGGGACTAGGTCCAAGCACCAAATACGTCTGCATGTTGGGGTTTCACTGTACCTCCAATAGTGTTGATGGGGTTCTTAGGAATACATAAAATTATTTTAAATATTGAGATATCCATAGAAAAGAAAGAAGAGAAATCTTCAGACTTTTCTAGAATTTTCCATAGACCTATATAAAGGCCAGCTCCTGCCTTGGGCAGGTCATTTCTCAGGTCATTCTTCTTTTGGGTAGAAGCAAAGTAAGTGTGCATAAGATCCGTAACATTGATATTTCCTTTCATTATTTCTACTGCAGTGTAAAGTCTTGTGAGTTTATCTAACCTATAATAAAAACCTGTGTTTCAGAACTGTATTCCATTGCATTGAAGAAATTTTGAGGTTTTTTTTTTGTTGTTGCAGGGATCAATCAACGAATCAGGCCTTGGGTTGCTGACTTGGTGGAGCTGACATCTACCTTTCTGCTCCGAACTTATCATTTTCTTAAATTTTTCGCGTTTGGATTATTCACCTTCCGCGAAAGCGTTCTGCGTGTCTGAAGAATTTTCGGTTTTCGTGATGGTTTTACTGAGTGGTGATTGCCGAAAAGAATTTCTTGTTGGAATCATGATCAACTGACTTTTGATGTACAGTACCTTATTAACGTTTTCTTCGTTATTTCCTGCAGGTCGTCTCGTGAAAAACATGAGTGGCGCAAGTCTAAACGGCTTTTACTTCGTGTTGTTAAGGCTCGTGTGATATTTCGCGAAAACAAGTGTCGTGTGTGTGACATGCAAAGTTCCAAAGGTTTCTCGATCTTTTATTTTTCGAGATTAAGTTTATTTTAAGTATTTCGGAGTACCGTATTTTCTGGGGGAACGCAAAGTGCTTGATTCTCATGCGTTGTTCGTATTTTCTCTCGCGTTGTTTTCGGACATGTCAGGCAGGTGTCGCTCGTATGTCAGACCAGTTCGAAAATAATCTGAACGAATATGAATAGAGCTACAGTAATTTGTTCGGCCAAAGCGTATCGTATGAATTTGACGTATCTTGACTATACAAAATTCAAGTGACAGCTGTATGATTACTCAATCAATTTTGGAGTACTTGACGTCGTACATTTGTCTTGTANAAAGTGAAGGGTGTTGTGGTCGTTAATATGACTACAACTGTTTCCATTTTTAAATTTGTATGTTGAAATTCGTCGAATTCCCTGGGCAATATTTTAATTTGTGACTTGCATTTTTTAAAAGATTAATGTCTATTTTGGGTCATTTTTATTTTAAAAAATTGTTCATTCAAATTGGTCAAAATTTTCCTGGATAAAAAGCAAGTATTTTCTTTGAAAATTTTGGCTTCTATTGCCACTTGGAATTTATAGACCTTCAGAAATAAATAGGTTAGTTTTTTTTTTTGCTTAGTAAGAAAGAATTTTGGTCAAATCAGGTCGAAGAACATGGAAATTTAAGATACTGTCCTGGGTCATAGCGGAGATAATAAATACAATTTTGATGATATGCAGAAGAAAAATCTTTGGGAAAAAATTGACAAATGGAAGCTTGTGACGGTCTGTAAAGAATTCACGGACTGGTTTCACACCCTCGTTTTTTTTTTTGTAAACGTGTCAACAATGTTTCGCGTCGATATTGCAGTGACACTCGGGTTCTTTGACGACATCCGCATCCCGGCGGCCATGTTGCAACACCCGTCCAGGTTCGACGAGAAGGAGCAGCGTTGGGTGTGGGAAGTGGACAACGGGGACGACGGGAAGGCGGAATTGCCGATGGACGTGGACGAGGAGATCCGGTTCCGGGTCACGGCGGAAACGTTTCACGACACGTCTCCTTCCGGTCCTTCCTCTGCTCCCAATAATTCTGCGTCTGAAGAGAATGAGGAAGTTGTCGGGAAGAAGTGTCCATATGCGATTACCGTGGGTTGTTATTTATTTTTTTAGACTTGACGAGTCTTCTTTTTTTTACGAGATATGCGGAGCTGGAAAAGTTCTGGTGATTTTTGTTTTTCTTGCCAACACTGTACTGTACTTTGGCAGCCCTTTAAAATATGCTCGAGTAGTAGAAACAGACGTATTGACTATGTGTCAGATCTCTTCAGCCTGTTACCGGCACTCCATTTTAGATAAGTGTGAAAATGTTGTTGTCCCCTCAAATCCTAATAATACAGTGGGACCCTGACATGTGGACACACCGATGTACGGACGATTCGACTTGGGGTCCCTTGAAACTTCAGAAAAAAATCTGCCTTGACATCTGGACGATGTCTCAGGATAGGAGGAACACTTCGCCGATATTTTCCAGGAAAATTTAAATAATTTTTTATTTTTGATATTTCTTGAACAAATTGAGCTATTTATACTCACAAAAATTGAGAATACATTTCGTTACAAATATGCTTGAATTCGTAATAATAATAAAACAGGCCGATTTTCAGATTTTTTTTTTCTATGATTTGTGCACATTATAGCAAGATTTACGGTATTTTTGTTCTTTACTTTTTGGACTCCTTTTTATTCCAAAATATGTGATTCTACGTGAATTTTCTTCTGCACGGTTGTTTTTTCTAGCTTGAAGTTTAGGGAAATAATTTTTATGCAATGATTTGGGGGACTTATATTGATTTTTCCAACAGGAGAATAAATGCAATATGCTTCCATGTACTTTTATGGGAAAATGTGATTCAACATGCGGACAATCCAACATTGGGACTAGGTCCAAGCACCAATTACGTCTGCATGTTGGGGTTTCACTGTACCTCCAATAGTGTTGATGGGGTTCTTAGGAATACATAAAATTATTTTAAATATTGAGATATCCATAGAAAAGAAAGAAGAGAAATCTCCAGACTTTTCTAGAATTTTCCATAGACCTATATGAAGGCCAGCTCCTGCCTTGGGCAGGTCATTTCTCAGGTCATTCTTATTTTTGGGTAGAAGCAAAGTAAGTGTGCATAAAATCCGTAACATTGATATTTCCTTTCATTATTTTTACTGCAGTGTAAAGTCTTGTGAGTTTATCTAACCTATAATAAAAACCTGAGTTTCAGAACTGTATTCCATTGCATTGAAGAAATTTTGAGGTTTTTTTTTTTTTGTTGCAGGGATCAATCAACGAATCAGGCCTTGGGTTGCTGACTTGGTGGAGCTGACATCTACCTTTCTGCTCCGAACTTATCATTTTCTTAAATTTTTCGCGTTTGGATTATTCACCTTCCGCAAAAGCGTTCTGCGTGTCTGAAGAATTTTCGGTTTTCGTGATGGTTTTACTGAGTGCTGATTGCCGAAAAGAATTTCTTGTTGGAATCATGATCAACTGACTTTTGATGTACAGTACCTTATTAACGTTTTCTTCGTTATTTCCTGCAGGTCGTCTCGTGAAAAACATGAGTGGCGCAAGTCTAAACTAAACGGCTTTTACTTCGTGTTGTTAAGGCTCGTGTGATATTTCGCGAAAACAAGTGTCGTGTGTGTGACATGCAAAGTTCCGAAGGTTTCTCGATCTTTTATTTTTCGAGATTAAGTTTATTTTAAGTATTTCGGAGTACCGTATTTTCTGGGGGAACGCAAAGTGCTTGATTCTCATGCGTTGTTCGTATTTTCTCTCGCGTTGTTTTCGGACATGTCAGGCAGGTGTCGCTCGTATGTCAGACCAGTTCGAAAATAATCTGAACGAATATGAATAGAGCTACAGTAATTTGTTCGGCCAAAGCGTATCGTATGAATTTGACGTATCTTGACTATACAAAATTCAAGTGACAGCTGTATGATTACTCAATCAATTTTGGAGTACTTGACGTCGTACATTTGTCTTGTAATGCTGCTCTGCTGTAACTTTTCTATGCATGAATCATTATTTTCTACTTTTTTTTTTCACAGAAAAGGTGTGTAGTGAATACCTTGACGTGTTTGTTTTGTCGTGAACGCGAAAATGGCACAGGCAACAGTGCCAATATCTTCGATCCTCAAGGAGAAAACAGCCGAGGTGGAGAAGAAGAAGTCCAGGGAAGACTGGCGTAAAGCGAAAGAGCTCGAAGAAGCCCGGAAGGTTCGTCGTCGCAGTAGATCTACTTGCACATGAAATATATTTTCTTGTCAACTCTGCGTTTATTGCTTTGGAAAAAAGCCACTTTTTTTCATAATTTACCCGAAGTGTAAATTTAAAATGAACAATTTCTTCCTCGCGTGAAACAGTTCCCGGATTTTGTTAATTTCCGGTAATGTGTCGGAAGAAAAAAGAACTTCCGACCTCTGATTCGCATTTCTGAACGAATGTGCAGAAGGAATCTGCAGAATGAAATGTTCAACTGTTTTTCAAGAGCAGAATATGCCAATTTATTTTTTCCCCATTGAAAGAGGTGGTCGATGTGTTTCTGGGGAACAGAGGCTCTCAACCTTCCCGACTAGCATTTATTTTTTTGGATTAAGCTCTTTGAAAAATTTTACAGTATTTATGGGTTCTTGGGACAGAAATAATTGGAGCTTTTTTTTGCAATTCTCTTTTTCTGTCTTCCTTTTTTTAAATATTTTTTTTTTCTGGGAGCCACTGGAAACGTGGAGTGGGAGCACAGGTTCCAAAATGTGTTCCCTGAAATACCATAATTGCATGCAAATTTCGACTGGATTTTTTTTTTCATCTTGGTTTCGTTTCGCAGGCAGGTACAGCTCCAGGTCGCCAACTACTTCTTCCTTCTCTGTAGTTGGGCGTGTAGGGCGTCATGTAAAGACGACGGGGAACCATAAAACCTAGGTTTCCTGGCTGAAACTTCGTAGTTGCCGGAGTTGGGCTTTTCTAGTTAGAAGCCAGTCGTTTGGATGAATGGTACAAGAGAGGCGCATTCGTGAGTTTCCAACTACAGTATTATTATTATTTTTTTTGGTTCTTTCTTCTAAACTTTGGCGTTTTGAGTGCAAATTATTTTGGAGAATTTAGGCTCAGTTATTCTCGCCAAGTGCCAATCATGAAGCATTGAAAAGGGATGATATTTCGGTTTTTTTTTTCAGAGCAAGGCCAGGCTTTGAACATTTTTTTGAAATTTTGTGAGAAGCTTGAGAAAATGTATCGTTTTCCAAGCAAAAAAATCAAGGATCATTTAAAAGCGAGACTACCTCGTTTTTCAGAACAATACGAAGATTTTAACATTTTTTGAATTTTCATTCTCGGAATTTCGGGAGTGGTCACGAAGAAAATTATCTAAGACATTTTTTCAAGAATCATTGAAGAGGATTTTTTTTAGCAATACGAGGTTGTGAACTTTTTTTTACTTTCCATTTTTAAAATTGAGAGAGAAGCCACACAAAAAATTATCCGTTTCCAAACAATATTTCAAGGAACGTTTGAAAGCAAACTATGTTGTTTTCGCTTTTTAGACAAATAACGAGGCTTTTAAATTTCCATTCTCGAAATTTTGAGTCATGCCGCAAAAAAAATTAGAGAAGCCACACTAAAAATTATCAGTTTCCAAAAAATATATCACGGATCATTTTAAAGAAAAATATTTTGTTTTTTTAAAGAAAAATACGAGGCTTTTTAACATTTTTCAAATTTTCCTTCTGAAAAATTTTGCGACAAGCCACGAAAAAATTATCGGTTTTCAAAAAGATTTTTCGATTACTGGAAAGGCGAAACTTCCTTCTGTTTTTCAGAGCAATACGAGGCTTGGAACATTTTTTTGAATTTCCATTTTTAAAATTTTTTTGAAAAGCCTCCTCGAAAAATTAACGCTTCCCCTATTTTTTTTTCATTTCGGAATTTTTTTCCGCGAAGTACTCATTTTATAATATTTTCTAGGGACTGACGGTGACGAAATTTCGAAAAGGAGCCTGCGAAAACTGCGGAGCCATGACACATCAGCGGAAAGATTGCCTAGAGCGCCCCAGGAAAGTCGCTGCAAAATTTGGCAGTGGGAAAATAGCCGCTGATGAAGCCGTGCAGCCGAACCTGGACTTGGATTTTGAGGCAAAACGCGATCGTTGGAACGGCTATGATCCCAGCGAACACTCCAAGGTTCTGCAAGACTTTGCAGACGTGGAAGAAATGAAACGTCGTCTCAAGGCCGAAAAGTTGAAGAAAGAAATGCTCGAAGGGAACGAAGTGAGTTGACTTGCGTTGAAAACAATTCCTTCATTCCAACAAGTTTTTTTTTTTTNTATTTATGGGTTCTTGGGACAGAAATAATTGGAGCTTTTTTTTGCAATTCTCTTTTTCTGTCTTCCTTTTTTTAAATATTTTTTTTTTCTGGGAGCCACTGGAAACGTGGAGTGGGAGCACAGGTTCCAAAATGTGTTCCCTGAAATACCATAATTGCATGCAAATTTCGACTGGATTTTTTTTTTCATCTTGGTTTCGTTTCGCAGGCAGGTACAGCTCCAGCAGCGGTTGATGAAGAAGGAAGAGACATCAACCCGCACATCCCGCAGTACATTTCTGCTGCCCCTTGGTATTTTGGATCCAAAGGACCGACTTTGAAGCATCAACGGCCTCAACCCGAAAAGATCAAGGAAGCCAGTCGTTTGGATGAATGGTACAAGAGAGGCGCAGTCGTGAGTTTCCAACTACAGTATTATTATTATTTTTTGGTTCTTTCTTTGAAACTTCGGCGTTTTGAGTGCCAATTATTTTGGAGAATTTTGGATAAGTTATTCACGCCAATTGCCAGTAATGAAGCAGTGAAAAGGGATTATATTTCGGTTGTTTTTTTTTCAGAGCAATGCCAGGCTTTGAACATTTTTTTTTTTTTTAATTTTGAGAGAAGCTTTGGAAAATGTATCGTTTTCCAAAGAAAAAATTCAAGAATCATTTAAAAACTAGACTACCTCGTTTTCCAGAACTATGCGAAAATTTTAACATTTTTTGACTTTTCATTCTCGGAATTTTGGGAGAGGTCACAAAGAAAATTATCAGTTTAAGACATTTTTTCAAGAATCCCTGAAAAGAATTTTTTTTGTGAGCAATACGAGGTTTTGAACTTTTTTTTTTACTTCCCGTTTTTAAAATTGAGAGAGAAGCCACACAAAAATTATCAGTTTCCAAACAATATTTCACGGATCATTTGAAACTTTGAAAGCAAACTATTTTGTTTTTGCTTTTTAGACAAATACGAGGCTTTTGAAATCTTTTAAATTTCAATTCTCGAAATTCTGAGACAAGCCACAAAAAAAATTAAAGAAACCACACTAAAGGTTAACAGTTTCCAAAAAATATATCACGGATCATTTTAAAGAACAATATTTCGTTTTTCAAAAAAATACTAGGCTTTTTGACATTTTTCAAATTTGCATTCTGAAAAATTTTGAGACAAGCCACGAAAAAATTATCGGTTTCCAAAACGGTTTTTCGATTACTGGAAAGGGAAACTTTCTTCTGTTTTTCAGAGCAATACGAGGCTTGGAACATTTTTTTAAATTTCCATTAAAAAAAATTTTTGAAAAGCCTCTTTGAATAATTAACGTTCTCTTTTTTTTTTTTTTAGAAAAAAAGCCAAGATATTATTTTAATTTTGAGGAGTTGGTTTCTTCGATCCTGTAACGGAGGGGGTTGCAACAATCATGGATTACACCACGACTCCACTTTTCGGATTTTTTTTTCTCGCGAAGTAATCATTTTATTACATTTTCTAGGGACTGACGGTGACGAAATTTCGAAAAGGAGCTTGCGAAAACTGCGGAGCCATGACGCATCAGCGGAAAGATTGCCTGGAGCGCCCCAGGAAAGTCGCTGCAAAATTTGGCAGTGGGAAAATAGCCGCTGATGAAGCCGTGCAGCCCAACTTGGACTTGGATTTTGAGGCAAAACGCGATCGTTGGAACGGCTATGATCCCAGCGAACACTCCAAGGTTCTGCAAGACTTTGCAGACGTGGAAGAAATGAAACGTCGTCTCAAGGCCGAAAAGTTGAAGAAAGAAATGCTCGAAGGGAACGAAGTGAGTTGACTTGCGTTGAAAACAATTCCTTCATTCCAACAAGTTTTTTTTTTTTAAACGATAAAAAGAAGAGGAGTTAAATTTATTTTTTGCTGTTCGGGTTTTTCTGAGTTTTGAGCTGATCTCGAACGCGATTTCATTTCATCGACCGTCGTCTAGGTGTCGCCCGAATTTAGTTTCAGGCCTAAAAATCACCCAAAATCAAAATACTGTACAGTTCAAAGCGGATGAGATTGAGTTGGGTTATTGCATCATAAATTGATTCTCCATCAGAGTTCAAGTTTTCACTCAAATCGTGCCGAAATCGAAGTTTCCAGCTTTAAAAAAAAATGTCTGTTGAAATTGGTCCGAAGTTCCCTTCGTTCTGCTTTGAAAATAAAATCGGAACTTAAATTACCGCTGGAATTGTGCGAAAATTGAGCGTTGATTTCGCATAGTGTATTCAAATATTTAAGAGTACAGTACTGAGGGATCTGTTATTTTTTTCGTATCGTTTTCCAGCCCGAATCGGACGAAGATGACGGCGATGATGACAAGTATGTAGACGACGTGGACATGCCTGGCACGAAAGTCGATTCCAAGCAGCGGATCACGGTTCGTAACTTGAGAATCCGAGAAGATACTGCCAAGTATCTGAGGAATCTGGACCCGAATTCCGCCTACTATGACCCGAAGACCCGTTCCATGCGTGACAACCCCTACAAAGAAGGGGCCACTGACCCCGTGAAGTGAGTACGGTACATGTAACTCGGCAGTGACGATGCGATAGTTTTTTTTTTTTTCGATGAATTGTTCGAGATTATGTTTGCTTTTCGAGTCGAAGTCGAACCTCTTCAATTCGAAATTATAGAGAATCGACAAATAAATTTGAGGTTAGGAAATTTACAGTGAGACCCCCACATGCGGACACCTCGACCTGCAGACAATTCGACAAAGGGACACTTATTTTCTAATGAAAAATGCCCAACATGAGGACACTGACTTGACATAGGGACATTTTGTGATAAAATGGCAAATAAGTTTCAGGCAAAATTACGAGAAACAGATATTTCCAACCCTGAAATTGATGCAAGAAAAGTTCTTGGGCATTTCTCTCACCAATTTACCATCCATCTAGTTAATTTACAAAAATTACCTCCAGCAGAGAGGGATTTCCTTCTCTCTCTTTCATTTGAACGTTATTTTTACAGAAAATGCCAACATTTCTATCTACTCTACAGAGGTATCAGAATTCAGTTCCCCAAATGTCCATATTGTGTTGAAATATATTGATTGGAATCAGTTCAAATTGGGAGAAAATGTTTATTTTCATGGAATTATGTTGAGTATTTTGTACATTAAACACCAATTAAAAACTATATAATGTAAGGGAAAATGAGACACAACTTAGGGACATTTAGACTTATGGTCACTCTTGATGCACCAATTACGTCCGCATCTCGGGGTCTCACTTAATCAGAAATAATCGGAAAGAAAGCTTTAGAATCAAGAATCTCTGATTCTTTGTCGCAGCATTTTCTTGAAAAACTTTTGAGGTGGTGATTTAAAAAAAAGAGGAGAATATTTTCTTTTTTTTTATACGAATCATCTTTGCGAGCTTTTCCTGGACACGGTCAAGTCAGTATTTGAGATGATTACCAAAAAAAACGTCCTTCTTCAGGGTGGACTATGCCGGAGAGAACTTCGTCCGTTTCTCTGGCGACACGTTGGAACACGCCAAGTCGCAATTGTTCGCCTGGGAAGCCCATGAAAAGGGCGTCGACGTGCACAATTTGGCGGATCCCACGAAACTCGAACTTTTGCACAAGGAGTTTATGAAGAAGAAGGACCAGTTCAAGACGCAGGTCAAGGGCAGTATCCTGGATAAATACGGCGGAATCGAGCACTTGGACGCTCCTCCCAAGGAATTGTTGCTGGCCCAGACTGAGGATTATGTGGAATACTCGCGACAGGGGAAAATCATCAAGGTTTTTTATTTGTTTTTTCACGCAAATGTTTGCCTCAAGGATTCAGTGAGTCCCCGCATAACGAAATCCCGGGTTTCGTTTCGTTGTGCGGGACGCGATTTCCCTTTATGTGACATTACGAGGAAATTTATGCGCTCGAGAAACTCACCGAAATTCCTTGAATAATTGCACGTTATTCTTAGTTTTTTCAGCATAAATCTGTGAATTTAAAATTTATTTGTGTTGAATTAAGTGATCCTGAAGAGTTTTTGCTCATTAACTTTCTGAAATTTCACAAATTTTGAGAATTAGGGCGGGCGAGACTGTACCTTCTTTTACCATTTTTTTCTCGTTGTTGAAATATTCCAGTTGTGAATTTAAAATGTATGTGTGTTGAATTAAGTGATCCTGACGAGTTTTTGCTACTGTTTTAACTTTTTGAGATTTCGCAAATTTTAAAAAATTAGTGCGGGCGAGAGCATACCTTTTTTTCACCATTCTTTCTCGTCGTTGAAAAATTCCAGTTTTAGCCCAAGACTTGCCTAAATTTTCTACCCTAATTCTCTTCCCTAAAAAATTTCGTGAAGTGATTTCGTTATGTGAGTCACCACCTTTCTCCTCCCTCTTAAAAGTATTCGTGATGCTGATTTTTCGTTGTGTGTGTCTTTCGTTATGCGTGGTCCCGCTCACTTCATATTATATTTTAAAATTTGTCGAATTTGAAAGACTTTTCAACTTCCTGAATTTCACAAATTTAAGAAACCAGAAGAGGCAAAAAACTATACCTTTCCCGATTTGTTTGAAAAAATCCAGTTTTAGCCCGAAGCTTGCCGAAATTCCAGCATTTTCCAGCCGAAAATTTCTTAAAGTGGAACAATTTTGTTGTTTGTGTCTTTCGTTGACGCGGGGACTCACTGAACAGGATATTCTAATTCTGTTGAGATTCAAGTTTGATGTGACTTATTTTATTTGACAAAAAAAAATTTTTCAATTTTTAAACACCAACAGGGAGCAGAAGCACAGCAAGTGCGTTCCCGCTACGACGAAGACGCTCTCATCAACAATCACACGGCAGTTTGGGGCTCATTCTGGAGAGACGGCCAGTGGGGCTACAAGTGTTGCCACTCCTTTGTCAAAAATTCCTACTGTACGGGGGAAAAGGGCCAGTTGCTGGAAGCTGGCCTCGTCTCCGATGCAGCAGCTGCTGCTGCCGCAGCTATCCCACTTGCAATCACTGCTCCTGAGCCAGTTGCGAGCACGTCAAAGGCCTCTGAAGAAGTAGACTCGGAAGACGAGAGAGAGAAGAAGGAGGCGAAGAGGAAGAAACGGGAGAAGAGGAAGCGGAAGAAGGAAGCTGCGAAGAAGCGGAAGGAGACGAAGATAAGCAAGAAGAAGAAGAAGAAGAACGCCAAGACGGACAGTTCCTCCGAGTCTGAGTCCAGTTCTGAAAGTGAGGACGAAGATGCGAAGAGAGAACGTCTTTTGAAGGAGGTACGGAAATTTAATCGACATCCTAATTTTTTTTTCTTTTTTTATTGAATGGTTCAACGATGTCTCAATGCGTTTTAATTTATTAATCGGAAATTTGTACGAAAGGACTAAATTATCGTCATGATCATATTTTTGCTAGAAAGAGAATCGGATGCTGAAATTTAATCAAAATTCTGATTTTTTTTTTAATCGTATAAAAGCTGCCTCAATGAGTTTTCAAATTTTTTTTATTTATTTAATTGTTTATCGGAAAGCTTTACGAGCGGCAAAATTATAGACATGATTAATAGGATGCTGAAATGTAATCAAAATTCTGATTTTACTAAATTGTATCATCGCATTTATTGAACATCTATACAAAGGACAGATTTATTGATCTTTTTGCGAGAAATAAATTTGTATGCTGAAATGCAATCAAAATTCTGATTTTATTAACCATGCCTCGATGCTTTTTTTCATTTATTGTAAGTCTTCACGGACGGCAACGTTATTGATATGATATTTTTGTTAGAAATAAAATAGAGTGTTGAAATTCAATCAAAATTCTGATTTTATCAACGTGGCCTTAATGTTTGTTTTTTAATGGACATTTATATGAAGGACTAAATTATTGATCTTTTTTGCGAGAAAGAGAATTCTATGTTGAAGTTCAATCAAAATTATGATTTTATTTAATTGTATAATTGTATGAACGCTGCCTCAGTGCTTATTTATTTATTTATTGTAAATCTTTACGGACGGCAAAAATATTGAAATGATTTTTTTGCGCAAAATAAATTAGGGTGTTGAAATTTTATCAAAATTCGAATTTTATCGTATTTCATCAACGTGGCCCTAATATTTGTTATTTATTGGACATCTACACGAAGGACTAAATTATTGATCTTTTAACGAGAAAAAGAATTGTATGCAAAAATTCAAGCAAAATTCAAATTTTATCAACGTGGCCCTAATATTTGTTATTTATAGGAAATCTATACGAAGGACTAAAGTATTTATATTTTTAACATGAAAGATAATTCTGCAAAAATTCAAGCAGAACTCACATTTTATTAGATTGAACGAAAACTGCCTCGGTGTGTTCATTATTTATTCATTTATTTATTTTTTGGAAATCAATCGAACTGCAGAATTTTTGATGTGATTTTTTTTTTGCGAGAAAGAAAATTGGATGCTGCAATTATTATTATCATTTTTTTTTTCAAAGGCATTGGAAAACGAGGAACGAATGCAGAAAGCAGCGGCAGAATTGCTTTCAAAGGACGAACGGAAGCGACCTTACAATTCCATGTACAACGTGACGCAACCCACGGATGAGCAAATGGAAGCCTACTTCATCAAACGTCTTCGAGACGAAGACCCGATGGCGAAATTTGTGTAAAACGCGGAATTTTTGAAGCAAAACTCTAAACTCGACACGGATTCACATGATTGTCATTTTATGTCGTCTTCGGAACATGGATGTGTGTTTTTTTGTAGGAAGATGCGTTTTCTGATTTCTCTTGTAGACTTTCATTCAACTTTTTTTTTACACGTGTCGGAAAAAAAGGGGGGATTGAACAAATTGAGAGAGACAATTTGAGACTTTGAAAATTGAGAAAAAAATTATCTTAATCATAAGAGGAATCTGTTTAGGTTGGTTCGAAGATTGCAGTTTTTGCTTGAAGAGGGAAACTCACTTGACAGTGATTGTGGACAAAAAGGAGAAACACCCTGGGATCATGGAATTTTCATCATACCGTTCAATTTTTGTCAATTTTCACACCTTCAACATTAGACAATACCTTGAGAAACCCACATGCAGACAATTTGAACATGACACTTATTTTCCCATAAAAATTAATAAAAAGGGGCCAACATGAGGACACTGACTCGACATGGAGACATTTTGTGATAAAATTGCAAATAAGTTTCAGGCCAAATTACAAGAAATTTCGCTAAATGATCGCACGAACTTTGATTTCCCGAAGTCCTGAATAACTTCGTTTTTTTTTGTGCTTTGCGATTTTTTTTTTGCAAATGTTTCTTCCGCAAATTTGGAAATATTTCTCATAACTTAATTTTATTTATTTATTTTTTATCTGAACGAGAATCTAATTACACGCGTATTGTTCGCATATTTCCGATGATTACGTCCAAATATTTTTGGCATTATGCCTCGAGCTCGTTAACGCGCAGTAATTCGACCTTTGCGCCATGAAGAATGCTTTTCCGCGAGGAACTCGTGAATTATGCAAATGAAGATACTGTAGTTGATAACTAACCCCCTTTTCCCCCACCCTCATTGCGGTCAACTCATTAATGGACGCGTTAATTATACCCCGGCGGTCTTGCTGATGATGTTCTAATTTAACTACTTGGGTAAGAAGATTAATCAACTTCGCCTTCACAGCAATTTCTCTTCGCAGGTGACGCCTCTGGAGGGAAATGGTCACCCTCGTATATTCAGGTGAGTTTCATTTCGTTCTGAGGAAAGTTGGGTTGTCAATATTTTTTTTTTTTTATAATGGAAAAATGAGATTATTCTGGGGAATTTGAATTTGTAATTGAGGAACTGAGACAGGACGTGTGTTTTGTTTTGATGAAGGAAACCTTTTCATTTCTGATTAAGTTTTAAAGTGTGGTTGGTTTATTAATTCCTTCTGTCAACGAAGAAGTGGATGCAATTTTTTGCTTGTTTTTATTATCGAGGTAATTCATTTCTGATGAGAGGTTTGAAAATTTTGGGGATATTTTTGATGATGGAATTACGCTTAATTATTATGCAGCAGAAAAAAGGATAAATGTTTACGACGAATGTTTTTTTCCAATCATTGTCCAAAATATAGCGGCAATTTTGTTCTAAAGAATTTTTCTTTGTAACGAAGTTTTTTTTTCGTTGTAACGAGTTTCTACTACAGACACGAAAATACGAAAAATGTTGAAATCTATGAAATACAGTCGAGAAAGTATTAATTGATTAGGAAATCTTCCAACAGCTTTTCCACTGAATTGCAGTTTTTTTTTTCAATTTACGCAAAATTTTCAGAAACCCTGAAAAGAATTTTGGCACATTTTTTTTTTTGCGATTCGATGGGGTTTTTTTTCGTATTTGAGCGAGGAATAACCTCGATGCTTGTATTTCTAAATTTTTTTGTCCTCCCATTTTGATTTTCGTGAAATTGTATATTAATTTAATTTACTTTTTAGATGGTTTTTCTGGTTGTTTTCGGAGTTCTTCACGTCATGGCGAATTCCGTGGAATCAAATCATTTGCCTGAAGGATCCGCCAAGAATTTCTTCTCGGCCTTTTCAAGAGATGTGACGCTTTTGAAGAAATCCAACGAAGAACCCGAGGTGGAAAAATTTTGGCAGACTCTCTTTCGAGAAATGGCATCGAGAAACGAAGACATTCCGGTCGTTTTGTGCAATAACACGAACAAAGGCAACTTTTTGGTGCTTTCACGGTCCACGAGCGTGGCTTTTGTCGTTGAGAGTATTGGTGACGTGGACTGGAACTTTCTGGACTTTTCTGTCAGGTATACAGTGGAAAATTCCGTTACAACGAACTCTTTTTTTTTCAGCCCCAGAGGTTTCATAAAAATTTATTTTTAGACTGTAATCTCGAAGTCACGATTTATACTTATGGCCCTGATGCTGTACATAAACCATGGGAATTACTTGATAAATGGCAGAAAAATTAAGCAAAAATTTGAACTGCATTCCAATTCCACTAAATAAGCAAAACTTTCTGTGGGGAAAATTCAGTGTATAAGAATGGGTGCAGGATAAAATTCCGTGAGAGAAAAAATCCCGCGGCCCGAAAATCCCGTGCGGCCGAAAATCCCGTAGGCCCAAAAATCTCGAAAGGTCCGAAAATCCCGTAGGTACGAAAATCACGAAAAAGGAATTTTCGTATCAGTAAAACCTAGTTTGAAAACTGCAGAAGGTAATGGTATTTAAACAATTCATAATTATCAAAGACGTCTAAATGCAGTTATGTATAGTGATATTTCATTTTCAATCTTAATATTCAATATACAATTTGTAGTACTCATCGGGATTTTTGTACGTACGGGATTTTTGTACGTACGGGATTTTCGTACCTACGGGATTTTTGGACCATGCGAGATTTTCCGGCCTACGGGATTTTTGGCCTCACGGGATTTTCGGGCCGCGGGATTTTTTCTCCTACGGGATTTCATCATGGAGCCGTAAGAATACACAGCATGGCATATTTTTTTGGGAATTTCTTCAGCTCCATTTTTAAATGTATGCTTTTCTTTAGAAATAAAAGACGGTAAGTTGAAAATAATGTTCCTCTGTTTGAAAGAACTATCAGGTATGAATGAATAAGTTGATTTAGAAGAAAGTACAGAGAGACCCCCACATGCTGACACCTTGCCATGCAGACAATTTGGCATAGGGACACTTATTTTCCCATAAAAATTATTAAAAAAGGCCCAACATGATGACACTGACTCAACATGGGGACATTTTGTGATACAATTGCAAATAAGTTTCAGGCCAAATTACAAGAAACAGATATTTCTAGCCCTAAAATTCATGTATGAAAAGTTCTTGCGCATTTCTCTTACCAATTTACCATCCATTTAACTAATTTTAAAAAATTACCTCTAGCATAGAGGGACTTCCTTCTCTCTTTTTCAGTTGAATTTTATTTTTATAGAGAATGCTAACATGTCTATGTACTGTACAGAGGTATCAGTATTGAATTCCCCAAATGTCCATATTGTGTTGAAATATATTGATTGAATCAGTTTGAATTGGGAGACACGTTTTCTTATGGAATTGTGGTGAGTATTTTGTCCATAAAACACCAATTAAAAATTACATAATGTTAGTCAAATGGAAAATAAGACTCTATTTATCCACACCCTTAATGCACCAATTATGTCTGCATGTCAGGGTCTCACTCTACAGGATTTTTCCAACATGCTTTTTGGTGTCATTTTATTTTCAAGGACAAAGAACACTTTATAAGAAAGGCATGTTCAATGGATGACAAGGTTACTTTCTCTGACACCCACACACTCTTCATTCTGTTTGCTCAAAAACATTTGTAATGGTAGGATTTTTTTTTCAGTCAGAAGTGTAAAAAAAAATGTGCAAGATATTCTGCAGGTATCCTCAAGCCATGAGATTCAGTATTGCTGTGCTGAATTCTGAAGAGATAGTAGAAGGCATTGAAGCTGAATGCAACTCCCACACTTTGAGAGGGATGACCATCACCCAGTGGTACCTGGTGGATCTGGATGCCTGGTTGGGTGTGGAGCAGTTCCCTGATGCACACAGGACATGCAGAGTGGTGGCCTTGGTGGGCAAAGGAGGTGGCAAGTTGGAATCACAGTTTGAACATTCAGGAGATTTTGAGAGACTGAGGGAGTTTCTTCCAAAACTTGAGGCAAGATATCATTGTGATGTGTGGGGTGGGGTTGTCTCAAAAGGTTCCAATGTATAGTTGCTTCAAGTTGCACCTAGGTATTTTTTTTTTCTGAAACTAGAGTATATTTGAAATGTGTAGTATTACACTCAAAATACCCATCAAGTACCACGTGCACCTTTTTTCCCAAATTTCAGAAGAAAGAAAGGGGTGCGTGTCATAAGCAGGTACAAAAATTTCAAGAAGTTTTAGGAATTTATGTATGCATTATACTTAATTATAATAAATAAATTTGGAACAAATTTGACAAGAAAGCATTTTTGTATTGAAAAAGTTGAAAATTGATCAGATTTTTGTTCAACTCAAGCCTGAAGTCAAATTTTTGGTTTTATTTTTGAAATTTTATGGTTTTAGATTCACTAAAAATTGGGTTGCGCATCTTACTCAGGGATAAGATTTTGCAAAATTTTCAACTGAAAAACCCCTGTGCGCACCTTACTCAAGGGCGCGTGGTACTTGAGTAAATACGGTATATTTCAGTTGACGCATTTCTTGAGTTATTTTCCTATTGAAAATATCAGATGACAATGTCTCACATTTTACAAATGATGCTTCCTTTTCTGTCTTTTTTTATTCGCTGTATGGATACCCCCAATGACAGGCTATTTTGCGGATGACCAAACCCCTCAGTTTCAAATCAGTCATAATTAATTTTTACAGTTCAATTTCACAAATGTCCTCTTGAGAACAAGTAGAAAAGGTCTGAAATTTTAAAAATAATGCTGCACTTTCTGTTCTTTTTTAAAATTTCTATATTGATTCCCCAACAGCAACGGGGTATTCTGCAGCTGACCAAACCTCTCATTTTCAAATCAGGCATAATTTACATTTGTAATCCAATTTCAAAAATTTCCTCTTGAGAATACAAGTGTAAAAGGTCTCAAATTGTGAAAATAGTGCTTCATTTTCTGTTCTTTTTTTTAATGTCTATATTGTTACCTCCAATAACAGGTTATTCTGCAGCTGACCAAACCCCTCAGTTTCAAATCTGTCATAATTTACTTTTGTAGTTTAATTTCAAAAATTGTATCTTGAGAACAA